GCATAAGATGTATTATATCATTAAATTTGAAAAAAAAAAACCAATTTTTTTCTTGTTTAATGCGATAACTAATAGTTTTTGTTTACTCATTGTCTTTTACCAAAAAACCAAAAAAAAATTTTTTTTGGAGAATTAAGAATAAACAAAAGTAGAGGAAACATTTAAATTCTGATAAACTGTTGTTTGTTGAAATACGCGTTGTGAATTTTCTGAAAACTTTAACAGTACTGCTAACATTCAGTCAGGTTTAACAGTTTTGATTGATACAGTTTTTCAATTATTTAGTCAATTGCAGTTCGCATTTTCTTTTTACAACTAAAAACAGTTTCGCTTATCAAAAACACTTCAACGGCTCTTATCAAATCTATTAAACAAATTTATTGGGAAGTTTTTGACAGTCTCACTAAAAAAAATTTTTTTTCTTATTTTACACAAAATGACAAAAAATTTACAAATAATTATTGTTTATTGCCTTTTAAATTCGTTAAAGAAAGGAAAAGCAATCTTTTCGAAATTATATAAAACAGTCAAAAAAACTTTAGAAATTTTACTGTTCAACAAGCGAAACTGTCATCAGTAACCTGCTGCAATCAAAAATTAGAAAGTTCAATTTAACAGCAGTCAGAAACAGAATTTTTAATTTCAATTAGAAAAGACTATCTTTACACGCTTCGTTGCATTTAATGCAATATTTGTAGCATTTTAATTAATATATTACTTGGTTACTTCTACAAAGATTAACAAATGCCAAATGTTCAGTGGTACATTAGAAGAAAGCTGTTGATATTCTGCTATTGCAAAATGAAGAATTTGACTGAAAAAACATTAAATAATTATACATTTGTTTTTGCATCGTTCCGTTTGATCATCATGGAATTACCAGAAAATTTTTTACCTTGAACGTTATTAAAAATAAGTTTGAAATTAAGAGCTGTAACTGTATAACTGTGTTCTGCTCAATCGGCTTTTAGTTCTTCAAATTATCAGCGACAGTTTAAGTGGCAGAAACAAACCAACTTAATGAAACTGCGTAGTTTTATATGCACTGAGTTTGCGAAAACTAAAGTAAGCAAGAAGGTAAGATTAGAGTAGATCCTTCTTCTAAAAACTAAAAATTTTCTATTTTTTTTTTCTTTTTGGTTTTTTTCGTCAGTTTCTGTTTATTTAATAAATTGTCTGGTGTATAATGCATTGATATTTTTACTGCTACTTCGAAAAGTGGTTCCCTATGAGAATTTAGAGCGATAAAGACTACACTTATTTGGTATCAAACATTAAATGCTTCTGCTTTATTTATTGTAATAAAAGAATTTTTAACTTAATTGTCTGATTATCGTCTCAGTTTTCTGCAATATTGCTATTAACTTTCTGCTGTATTTGAATACAAATATTCAAACATTGTCTTCTTTTCCACTGACAACAAATGAGGAAAGCATTTATTGCTTAATATGTCGAGAGTAGCTGTTTATTCTACTAAAGATATTCATTCTATAAGAGACGGCTGTTTGAACCAGTCAGTGCTCCTGAAACTCTGGCGTGGTTGCTACTAGGTATTGGGAAAGTGGATATGCCACTCGGATTTTAAACGGGCAGTTCTCACCGTCGTTGTCCTTAGCTATTTTTGATTACTTTCGCCTATATGAATTAAAGAATGTTTTGTCGAGAAATCGCAAAATTTTACAGCACCCTCCTGCTTTCCTTTTACTGAGGCCTGTGAAACACAAAAATGATTCCTTGATTGCTTTATGATTCCTTCGTATTATTACTTATCGTATTATTACTTACTGCAATAGTTCTTGATTATATTTGAATGAAAAACTTGTATTACCATTGAACCTTTGTTTTCCGTTTCTTTCTCAACTAAAAATTTGTTTTAATATTTTAGAATCTGCGGTCAGATTTATTTTAATCAACTACAGTAACTAAAACTGCGCACAAACGGCAAGGCTGCTGGTAATATCAAACAGAAGACACAGATTCAAACTGCAAAAAAAAATTTAAATTGAAGTCTACATTGTTCCCCTCGCCAGTCTTGTTTCAAAAAACGACAACAGCAGAGACAGCTACGTGACTGTAAAAGACAGAGAATTGATTGCACGACAGTTTTATTGGCAAAAACTGGCATAAAAAGCATACTCCAAAAAACTCCATTTGTAAAGTCAAGCCTGACAGGAAAGCCGTTATATACAGTCGGAAATTTAGTTTTTATACTTAGTTCTAAAAAACTGAAAAAAAACAAGGTACTTCTGCCTACTGGGATAATTAGTAAATTGGAAGTATACAAGCGCTGAAAACAAAAAACAATGGTATACAGACAACAACAAAAAATAATAGCCAGGATTAACTTAAGCGTTAAACCTGCATTCAGCTAATTCCTTTCCCATGTATCCGAGTTGAAGATTGATGCGATCCAGGTCTAGTTCTTCACAATCTTCTGGAGCTTGACCGCTGAAAAAGAAAGAGTTCAAGAGATTAGAAGGGTGGCTAAGAAACACGGGTTAAGGAACAAGTTTCTTGCAAATATAAAACAAAAGAAAGAAGTTTTACAAGAAAATTGTGAAGTTGCTGCGACCCCTAGCTGCCATTTGGTTAGCCATCATAACAGGAGCTGGAACCGAACACGGCTGATTCGTAGTTTGCAAGTTGAACGTTAGTGCATACATCATTCCCTGCACCTCGTCTGGTGATATGTTAGATGTGTCAAAAAGGACATTGTATTTCGACGCTTTTGTCGTGCCCTAGAAGCAGACAGTTGAAGAACAATTCCACAAGGAGCTGAAGAGGTTTGGAAAATCAACCTGTAATGGGACGTAGGAATTCAAATAAAATTCATTGTAGATTGGGCTCACAATTGAGTGATCTACAACTGTCCCTGGTGGGATGTTCTGCTCTGAAGCGCGACCCCGAAAATCAATTTGCTAAATAGAATTGGATCAAATTATAATTGTATAATTAGTTCTTCCGTGCATGGTTAACTTACACTGCGGTAGAGACGAAGATGATGTCTCTTTGTCACCACGACAAAAGTAATGTGAGGTCTGTAGTTTCTGCCTCCTGCTGTAATGCATGCATCCTTTACTTGCTGCACCTCTTTCTCAAGAACCTTGAGTAAATTAAGCATGAGGATCAAAAATTAAAAAATAAGTCCAAAAAATATTGAGACATTTTAACATACATATTTGTATTGCCCTTCAGATATGCCATCTCTCACTATTACCAAATGCCGTGGAACCCCTCTATACTTTTTGGCAAGCTTTAGCGATTCAACAGCAAGATCACGAATGGCTGTTTCTCCCAAGCACAACTAAAGTAGCCGTATTCAACTGTGGCCTTAAAAGAGTAACAACACAAATTTGCAGCAGAAAAAACCTGCCTCTTCTTCAATCGTCCAACCAAACCTGTAGCCTCCGATAAAGTCCAGTGGGTGAGTGTGACAATTTGCAGCATACTGTAAGCTAATCAACTAAGTAAAAAAACTACTTAAAGATCAAATGTAAACTAACCCCATACACAGACAAGTTCTGAGATGGGTCATTTTTTGCAGTCGTGTTAGTAGTTGTGAGATCTATGCCAATTATCAACCGATCCCTTCGGCTAATCCACTTCTGTGCTCTAAATGAATCTACGTTGGTTGAAGGGACAACATACAAAGAGGTACAACAAGAAACGTACTCTTGTGATTCAAGACGAAGGTCAAAATTCAGGCCTCCTAGTTTCAGGTTAGTTTTATGGACAATATTATCTAGCGTTTGTGACCTCCTGTGAACGAGCGCTGCCGTTTTTGTCAGAACATCCTGTGTCAGTATCTGATACTGACTTTCGAAAAACTTAATCCTTTCTGAACGGTAAAACTTTGTGCGAAAGTTAGAACTGTTTGATCATTACTCTTGTTCACAAGCATCTAGCAGAACTGACCGTGAAATCTCAAGGTTTCTGAGGTCACGAAGTGGATGAATTTTACTGCTTCCCTTTGTCCAATTTTAAAAGCAGTTTCTACATCGGGTTCTCTAGCTCTTGGGAAGTAACTTACTTCTTCCGGATATGCGATCGATATTCCTCTGCTGTGGCAGCGTTTTAAGAACCATTTAACGTATTGTCTACAAAAAAAGCTTGCTTTGATCCAGTGTGACAAAATTGATGAAATAGTAATGCATAAAAATGTGCAGGGAAACAAACTCCAAGTCTTTTTTGGTGAATCTATCAGTAGCGCTGACTAACGCAACTGGCATCCATCTTTTACAAGACGACGGAATAATGTAAATTGTATTCTCTGCTATTGACCAACTTCCCTAAAGAAGCTAAATTTGAGAGCTGCAAAATACAGCAAGTAAACAACACCAGTGGAAGAGAGGCTGATACCGAATCCTTCATCACTACATCGCCGTTATTCCCATAAAACACTGTGGGCTTGTGTAATACCCTGGCTTCTACCTAAATGCGAAAACTTAGAACGGCCAGCAATTGAGAGATAACAGTATCTACTCAGCGAACATATGATTAATAACAATATGATCATTTGTATTTTATTACTTCCAGACTCTTTTCTGATAATTGAAGCTGGAATTCTCTACACCACCTGTTTCCTCTCCCACCATTATCAAGCTTTAATGCTCTCATCATGTTCAAAGTTTGTTGTATTCTTGCTCTTGGAAGAGTAGCAGAAGCCTAAAAAACTTACAGGTAGCCGTTAAACGAGAAAAACGTGTACTATTTAGTACTAGTAAATTCAACAAGATTTCACCAACCTTGACTGTCTCCTCAACTTGTTTTGACGATTCTTGCGGCAATGTTACGCGCTGGTTCTCACAGATGAAAAGCAGTTCTATGGGGTAATGACTTATCCCCTTTGAAGTCTTTTCGACAGCAAGCGGGAGTTTTACAAATCTCAAATTTACATCGTATTTCTCTTGGAAATACTGCACCAGACTGATCATTTGCCCGCCTCTTTTGATCCTAAATTCAAGATAATTTAACCGTAAGAAACACTATAAAGTAATAAAATTACTTCAAAAAGATCGTTTACCTCATAGTATCAGCCGACTGTTCTGCAAATTCAGAGATGCAGAATACTTTATATTGCCCATAGTTGCACCGAACGTAGAGACCTAGAAATATAAGACGAAATGGACTGCCAAACTGCAAGCTTCCTTTCAAGAATCAAATTAGAATTGATTAAGCAGGTGAGAGAAAATATTACCTCGTAACATTCTTGACAGTAGCTTTATTTGATGACTATCAATGCGCGCGCCAACTCGACAACCACAAATATCAGCTACCTTCTCGGCAACACACTGTAACTCGATATGAAAGGCTGCTTTTTTAACTAAAGCCGAAAAAAACAATTCAGAAGAAATTATATTTGCAGAACAAGTGTCTTAAACACTGTAAAATACTTTTTTCAACTTACCGTCTACATTGACTGACATTATTGGGTTTCTATGCGGCCCTTCCAAGACTTTTACTACCTTTGAAGCACCGACTCCGATATATTTGCCGTCAGGAAGAAGCGGCACCTCATCATCTTCAAATCCAAATTCTGATGGGTTGTAAAGGTAGCTTTCTCCAGAACCGTAAGAAACAAAACGACCACTGGAATAATTGAGGAATTCTACATTGAACAAACATTTCGAGAAAACAAAAACGGCCCTCACTCAGTAAAGAACGCTTCCTGCGATAAAAGAAGCTCATAAAACTGCAGTAAACTCTGGTTGACAAGATTAGGATTTAAATTGTATCCTGACTGAAGATTCGTGGATGTCAACTGGAAGTCCTGACTACACTGCTTAACCTTAAAAAGAAGTAAATTTATCAAAGAGTAACTCCATATTTCAAAAGTCCAAAAAGCCGTAATCTTGAAGTACCTACATAGACAAGAATTCTAGTGCAATTTTCGGGAAACATGTCGCTTGGTAAATCGTTAGGATCAACAATAAATGATTTTGTCTGTAATAGATACTTTACTAGTTATAGATAACAGCATTCTCAAAACAGGTAACAAAAAGAATGGCAAAAGACCTCGCCATCCGCTATTTTGAGTTTGTCTAACGAGTAGAGAATTGACGCTCGATCATAAACAAACGAGCTTATTTCACCAAAAAATTCGTATTGTTGATCTAGAAGCCTGATGTAAACAGCAACACATTTATTTTTCCTCTCAATCGATGTATAGCTGCAAAATATGTCTGGATAGAAGTGAATGAACATTTATAAAAATTGTTGATCTAATTTCTTTCAAAGTATTCCGAATTATAGCAGATAATTTATTTTTTCATTACTACGGCACCATAGTAAACGCATAATTAAAGAATCTAAAAAAGACAGCCTATCAGATAAATTTTTATGCATACCTTTAAGCTTATTTGTAAAAGTACGCATTTGTTGTCTAAACAGCAGAAGCAGTAGCTGAAAGTGACATGACCAAACTTTAAAAACAAAAAATTGATCAAAGACGTACTCTTCTTTAGTCTGCTTCGTCACTTGCTTTAGTACAGGTTCACCGCCTTTTTGTTTTGGAGGATATTCTTCTAACACTCGAAAATCATATCTGTAAAACGGGGTATTCTTCGTTGGAATAATACCATACAAATTAGTTAGTATTCGAATATTTCCTGTGGTTCGTTGACCGTATGCTGTTTTCGCTGGTAGTATCGGCTGTAACTGCAGCTGAAACCTCTATGCTAGAAAAAACAGAGCATCGAATGCAATGTTGCTAAATCAGGAAGTGAGGAAGAAGGCGAGATACCTAAAGTAAAAACCAACCTGTGCGTTAGTAGGATCTCTTTTGATTTTTTCTCTTCCTGTAATAAAAACGGTAAGCGTTC